ATGACTCCCGTAGTAAGTTCGTTCTAATTGGTCAATATTAACGGTCAATTGGTTGGTCCACGATTTACAATCTCACAATACTCTACGATCTCTCTTACCTCTACTATGTCTCCAGCCTCAAACAGGTCTTTGCTATCATCTAGATAAGAAATTGCTTTTAGCAATATAGTTAAAAGTTCGGATGATATAAGATAACATTTTTTGCTTTCATTATCTGACATGCTACACATGTCTCATTTGTTTCACTCACTCTCCTGTTAATTATTATTTTTTCTAGTTTTGTTAATAGACATGCAAAGCATGTCTTGCTTGTTTCACTCACTCTCCTGTTAACTATTATTTTTTCTAGTTTTGTTATCTGACATGCTATGCACGTCTCACTCATTTCACTCACTCTCCTGTAGCATAATAGACATTTGTTTATTACATAGTGACAAAATTGAATGCAGATCTTTTTTATGCTGTGCAACAACATAGCGGGTATTCAAGTTTAAGAAATGATCGGCACTAATTACACTACATATGTTTCATATACAAACTGACCATCATCTGACTTTAACTCAACTTTGCATCACCAAAATCAATTTTATGGCAATAACAACAACATATTCTGATTTCTTGACCATTTCTCTCTTCTTCATAATCACTATTTTTTTTTGCAAGAAAAGTTGTAGTTCACCTTGAAGCTGTTAATTATCCCGGCATCACATGGTTATAAAAATGTTGTTGTGTTTGGTGGTAAGAAGTAAACTCTTAGATTAGTTAAATTTGTTGAATTCAGAAATAGAATGAGTGAGTATTGTGACAATAAGCGCGTTCAAATTATTAATATTACTGAATTTCTTAATTTGGTAATGATTACCTCAGATCATGATCGTCGGCCATTATAGACAACTTCTAAAACATACGAGAGAATTTTCAGAGGCTGACCATTATACACTATAGGAAATTTAATTAAGAAAACCGTTATAGAGTAAGGTTTTTATATAGTAAAAATTTGGTTTCTGATTTACAGTGCGTTATATAATGGAGGCCATTATAGAGGGGGCCGTTACAGAGAGAGTGAACTGTAAATATAAATTATGTTACAATAAAAGGACATTTGGATGAATTGGGTTATAAAAACCAGTTATCAATTGGTACTTCTATGTTAACTGAAGTTTAAAAGGCTAGGTGTGTTGAATGGGCCAAAAAACACATTAATGACTCGTGGAAAAAACTTCATTTAGTGATGAAACTGCATTTCAATTATTTAGGAAGACAATTATAGAGGTCTATTCCCAATTAGACCACTCCAAAAAAACAGACAAAAAATTTTCACATGAGCTGGATTTTCTGCTAGGGGAAAACAAGTTTATTTTGTTTTACACAAATAATGGATGCAAAATTTTATGTTGAAATACTTGAAAAGCATCTTCAAGAAATCAACAGCATGCTTGAGAATAATTGATGATTTCAGCAAGATAATAATCTCAAGCATACAAGTTGTCTTGCCAAAGAATTCTTAAAAGAAAATGCTCCAAAAAGTAATTGATCGGCCCTCCAATAACTCCAACTTGAATCCCATCAAAAATTTGTCAAAAGGAACACAGAATCATGAATGCCAAATAATTTAACTGAGTTGCAACAATTTATGATAAAAGAGTGGAATGCAATTCCAAATAGCCTCCTAATTAACTTTATTAATTCAATGAAAAACAGATGTGCACTTATAATTGAAAATAATGGAGAAAGAATTTCTTATTAAAGTTTATATAAATAAAACAATATGTTTTCAACTTTCTAACAAATTGTTGAATAATTGCTAATTTTTTTTGTAACACACAATATATTATAAAACATTTTTCAAGATAATAATATTTTTTCAAAGATTAAAATATTTGTTCAGGAAACATTTTCATTTAAAAAGCAATTCTTTCAAAACCCAAATGGAATTTGCAAAAAAAAATTTTCCTAACATTTTAGGACTACCAATTGTATAAATTATTTATTTTTTAAAATGTCATAATATTCTTACACCTGATGAAAAATGGTAATTTTTTCATATAGATTATATCATCATACAAATTAAACAATCAAATTGATGATGTCTAAAAAGAAACTTTATCAATTAAAGAACAAGAAAAAAATTAATAATAGTTTATTAGAATTTATACAAATATCTGAAATAATGAGAATCCAAAATAATTACGAGCATCCAAAATCATTACGAGTATCCAAAATAAATATTCGAATAGGGAGTCAGAATTACGGTTAGGAACCCTATCTACGACCATAAATTATTGGAGTCAATTTTTTGTTTTCTTAAAGAGTCCCGTACTGACTTACCTTACAGTATAGAAGATTAAAAAAATTTTCATACACGGTGTCGTTTTGAAATAGGTTTAGATTTTAGATTCGATTTTTAACTTTTAATTTCGTTCCCTGCATAATAAAAATGAATGAGATTATATCACCAGAGAAAATGTACGGTTAGCGTATAATTTGCATATTATAATTTTTTCCATAATAAGTGTGTGATTATATGGAAAAAAAAATAATTCGACTTTAAATACTCGACAGAAATAACGTTAAATGGTATGTGTATGCCATAGTCAACAGATTCAAAATTTGATTCGAATTACTTTGCTAATAGCATTCATAATCTTATCTCAATTATTCAAATAATTGTTAAGGAATAGCTTGGCCGTTGTGGTGGAGAAATTACAATTGGAATGGATTTAAAGCGAGCTATTGTTCAATAATATAATTTGTTTACATGCGACTTTTCTTAATATATTTATATGAATTATACATTTTATTTATAATACACGTATATACAAAAAAATTTACACCAAAAAAAAACTATGAATTAATATTAAGGTTTTCCTCTCTAATTTTTAACAACAAATCAGATACTACCCATGGAAAACTTAATAACAACAGATCCTCTTCTCGTTCATCTCTCCCCTCATCATAGAATTCATCATCGTTTTGTTTATATGTTACGTAATACCAAGCCGAGGCCAGAGCTTTTGATTCGTCTGTCACTGGTATTCTCACTTGGAAATCAAAAGGTGAACCACCATAATGATTATTATTGTTATCATTATTATCATCGTCATCATTGTCCTCTTCGTTATTTTCAACTTCGAGGGGAATCTCTTGTTTAAAATTCATTCTGAATTCGTAAATGATATGCGATATTTCATTAGAAATTTTCTCTCTCACGTCGTACGTTTTCCGCCCATTCATTTTCTGGAGAATGTTCGATGAGATTATTTCTGGTTCAGTTTGTACACCAAACTTCTCCATAATCGATCTTATACTTCGATTATATTGACTACGGTAATGTAAAGCTTTTTCAAGGTGACCCATATATCCTTCATATAAATATTCCTCGTTTACTTTTAATCCAGATACAGTATCGTATATGAGCAATGGATCATCTTCTGATTTGGTTAATTGTATTTTACGATACAATAGACCTAATATTCCTTGAGATTGGTATGATTCTTTCACCTTTTTTTCCATAAAATCTGGATAATTTTTCAGTTCCGGTAATTTATCAGTAACAGGTATTCCTGTTTTGTTAAAATCCACAGCTTTGGAGTGCTATATAATGAATGCGGAAAGCATGAAAAATATTTAACAAGAGCGAAAAAAAAAAAAAATTAGAAAAAATCAACTTACTAATTCAGCCAAAGTTAAGCATTCTTCACTTTCTAAACCAATAAAATCAGCAAATGCTAGATGTAAATTACCAATAATACCCAATCTATTATTTATTAAAAAATCTGCGAAAAATTCGCAAATGTGATTGATGTTGATGGTTTCTTCGATTTCTTTTCTTCCCGGAGGGTCGTAATTCATAGGTTCAAACATTGACTCTTCAGGGAAAAACAATCTTTCATCAAAGCAAACAAAAAATTCATCCCCATCTTTAATTTTTTTTTATATTTGATTTAGCACATTAAAATATTGCATTTCATATATTCTATGTAATAAATCTATGTATTTACCTAAATCTCCACCACCCTAAATAACAAAAGTAATAATTTTTTAAATTCATTAATTGTTTTCTCAAAATTAAAAAAAAAATATATTATATTTACCAAACAATTTGGTAACGGTCTTTCTCCATGCTGACTAAACACCACACAATTTTTTAAATGTTCCAACTCTATGACATCCACTGCTTCGACAATTCTCATGTCACCCGGGTGCATACAGGGATTTCTTGTAATTACTTTTTTTTTTTTTTCACGGAAAAAATCATTAATCATCACTCACTCACACACACACATATCATAATCATAATCATAAATAATATTACCAGCTGGACCGGTCCATACTTTACGTTCTCTTTTCACCTTTTTATTACGATCCCCTTTAAATGTTCTGTGTTGGGAAACAATAGTGGACGTATGGACATATATTTGGTTCGGTTCTAAAATTCCGGTTTCATCCACAACACCCATCAACAAATACGCGTTTGGCATAAAAATTCGTGCCCTGTAACGTAGATTATTTAGGGCAAAAAGTCTTTTGCATTCTAAATAACCTTTCAAAAATGGTTCTTCTTCTATATTTACGCCCTATATTCATATATAATACAATCATTCATAGATAAAAATTAATGATAAAAATTAATTAATGTAGTATGATAAAATAATAATATAACGGTATTTACTAACATCATCCAGCATGCTAAGAATTGTTTTGATGACATGCGAGCATTCCTTCGTACTCGAACTATGTCTAACAACATCAGTGGCCTTTTCTCGGTCATTAATCACCAAGTTGATGTTGTTTATCATCTCTTGTTGCAAGTCCAGGAAAATTCCATTAGGAATTCCAAGATTTGACAATAATAATATGATTTGGCGGTTTAGATACGCGGGCAATGGACTTCTGACTGTTTTAGCGATCTCGAAATCCAATGAATCTGGTGCCTCGAACTTCCTCTGGCTTGGCCGCACGCAAATTTGTTCCCCTTCTAATGTGTTGTCTAAGGCTACCACTCCCTGGAATAAATATAAATCTTTAACACTGATCTATTTCTTAATTATTATTTTAATTATCATTCGATTGTGATAAATTAATCACCTTTGAGCCCCCAAATCTTATTTGATAAACTGAAGGGACTTCATCTTTAATATATCGAGCACCCATATACTTTTTAATTACTTTTCTTGCAAGGTCCATGGATATCTTTCCACATCCATCACTAAAAAATCTTTTTTATCAATAAATTTATTCATATTCAAAATTAAATTTCATCAACATGATTTGAGTAATTTACCTGAAATTTTGTTTTTTGCCATTAATTGTGATTTCAAGATCAGGAATTTTTACGATTTGGTCACTTGGAATTGTGACAGTGCTAATTGTAGTCGTGAAACATTGTCCCATTCGAGCAGCATACAGTGAAGGTGATTTTATTAAACTACAAATGAAAAAAATTTTTTATTATACTAATCATATTACTATTATGTTAATAAAAAACAATCCAACTAATAACTGTGATAATGATAATTGTAATTATATAATCCCGTTATACCTAAAGTCACCCATCTCTTTACGAATTTGGTCTGCTGTAAAACCACATATTTCCTTGTTGCAAACGTACCAACAGGATGATTCGCGTAGTTGTGATGAGGAAAATGCCAGAAATTGATAATGGCGACCAGCAACTTTAAAACCATGTTTCAACTTTTGTAAGATCCTTTTTTTTGTAATGTCAACCTCGCCATCTCTAATATATATGTTCTCTTCATTCTCATCAACGAATGTCACACGCAAAAATCTATCGTAGTGTTCCTCGTATTTTCTCAATATACGATTGGATTGTTCGTAGGTCGGATCCTCAAAATATATTTTAGTAGGGGTGATGTAGGCGTGGTAAACCCAAGCATACCTATCCTTGGTTTTCATTGTTATTTTGGGGTTCGACGGGTGCCAGATGAGCGGTTCACCATTAAAATTCTTGAGAGCATTATCATACTCATAGATTGGCCTAGCGTTGTAATGCTCGTAACCCGGATTCCAATAACTATGCTTCATATAGTTAAGTGCATGCCACACATAATTAAACTTATCTTGATCCAATGTCTCTTTTAATTTGTACCCAAATTTGTGCTCATGAATTTCTGAAGCACTCAGAATACCACGCGACATCAGACACTCTAGTTTATAGGATATCTCGAAAGGTAGAATGTTATAGACATAATTCTCCAGGTAAGAATTGTCATCAACTATTTTTATTGATTTTACATTGCACCGCAAGAAACTTTCTTTCGTCCCTGGAATTGGTAATTTATTGAAAGTTGTTTGAAAATCTTGAAAATTGGTTTTAAGAACCATTTTGTAAACCAAATAGTTTCCAAAAGCATTGACATCCTTTGTCCAATCAGTAGTTCTGGACCACTCATCTGGAATTGGATCCAAAATTGAAAAGATGAAACTGAAATCCCACGATATTTCATCAGTTGTTGTTTTTTCTCGATCATATTTGTGACGATATAGTTCTGGACTGTAATTGAGTGTAATATAGACAGTTACCTTTTCTGATGTGTCATTATTTTTCTCAATAACGATCGAGTGAGATTTATTGGTCAATGATCGAAATAATATCTTTACCCGTTTTTCTTTATACTCTCTATCCCCTTGTAGTCTAAATCCTTTTATTATAAATGCTTCTTTGTAATCTGACACTTGTAAAGTTGGTTTGATAAAATCATTGCCTTGATCATTATATGACCAGGCACTTAGAAATGTCCAAGTAAAGTCGGTATTTCTTTTGGATTTTTTATTCCGATTTCGAGTTTTCTGTCGTCTTCCACCACCCCATCTACCCAATTCTAAACTTTCAATTTCAAAAGCTGGTTCAAGGGAAGACATAAGGCCATCCTCTACATTTCTTACACTTTTTCTTTTGCTTCTTGAGGGAGAGATTGATAATATTCTGCCCATACATTCTATTCCATTTTCTGATGCCTCAAGTAGCACATCAGCATCTTCATCGTTTTCAAATAAAGCGAATCCAAATCCCCTATCCTTAAGAGTGAAACTTTTTAATCTAGAATTACTAAATTCATTTAAAACATGCTCGACTTGAGATTTAGTGGCCCTGAAATTAATATTTCCAATGTACAATTCTTTCATAATGAATTAAATGTTGATTATAACTTGATCAAGATTAATTGGAATTAATATTTATTTCGATTGTATGTAAGTTTTTGATTAATGATTTTGAAAAAAACTTTTTAGAAAAAAAAGAATTTTTTTTTTTTTTGGGGAAAAAAAAAAATAAAGTTTTAGAGTAATTCCGTTTTTGTTTAGCACCATTTTATACATGTTTAGTATTAACGTGTTTAAAAGGTCGGACTAAACAATTAATCCAAGACTCCGAATCACAAAAGGTACAAAGTTACATATTAATACTATTTCTTGTTTGACAAAAATTTTCATTTTCACGCAGCTATTTTAATTTCGAATTGATATTATATATTATGAAATGACTTATTTGTGTAATTTCCAACGCAAAAAAAACAAAGCTTTACCATACAGAATAGGAATGAAAAGTGTCATTTTCTTAATGCGGATAGTTTTTTGACTTAATACAGATTTAAAACCTGGCTTTAATTGTGAGACAGGGGAAGAAAGCATCATCTTCTGCAAGCAATCGATCATAAGAACAAAATAGAAGATTCGGAAATGTTGTATCAGGAATTTAGCAAATAAATTATTGAATATAATAATTTCTGAAAGATTTAATTGCATCGGCAACAAGGCAAGGTATAGTAAGTAAACTTAAGGGCTCTTTCTGTACAAATTACAAGATTTATTAGAAACTATTCGTGGGTGTATAATATACTGCACGTAAAAAGAAAAATCAAGCATTATTTAACCCAGTTAGAAAACGTATTCAGAAAATTAATTGATCGACTAATAATATTCCTTTGGATATATAGTTTCATAATCCGTGCTCATCCCCAAAGCTTTACAAAGTAGTTTTTTCAGAAAT